ACAAAAAGACGGGAATGATGGGGTCTTCCATCCTGGGGCTTAGCTATCTCTAACATGACATTCATCCAAGATAGCACCAGGCCCCAAGAAACAACTTAGCTCTCCAAAACTTCTTCCTCTTGTTCTAGGAATAAACCTCCCACTCCCTTTTCAAGCATGTGCCAAGACCTCTCTGACTCCACAACCACCCAAGTGCTCACTCTCAACCCAACTCCATAAAAGTTCCCCCAGTTTTGAGTGTCTTTGCACTCTTCAGTAGCCCTCCTGTGCCTGCAATGAAGGCTTTTATCTCTCTCTCTCTCTCTCTGTTTGTCTCTCAACTGCACTAAAAATCTAACATAAGTCAGAATTTTAAAAGGCCTCACCAGATATTAAATAAGAGAAGGTGCATTACCTGTAATCCCAACACTCTTGGAAGCTGAGGTTGGAGAATTGCAAGTTTAAGCCCAGCTTAGTGAGACTCTATCCCAAAATTTAAAAATAAAGAATAAAAAGAAGAGCTGAGGATGTGCTCAGTATGAAGGCCCTGGGATCAACCACTACCACAAGAGAAAACAAAACAAACAAAACACGTTACAAGACACAGAATCTCATGTAGATTCAAAAAAATTCTGAAATGTCCTAAATCAACTACAAGAGCTTGAAGCTGGAGAGGGGGAAGTTAATCAGTTAACAGCTACTAGCAGAGAACCAAAGTGACTGCTTATGTTAGACTTAAATCCCTTCATTGCTGAACACAAGGACCAGCAAGCCCCATTTACATACAGACTTTCTAGACTAAACCTAGTCAATCCAGAAGACACAAATCCTCCTCGTGGGTTGCCCTCCTATACCAAAGTTTTTCCCTCTGTCTTCTTAGCCTGCCCCTCTTAGTCAGAGCAATACAGTTTCAAAGTAAACCATTTAGGATTTCTTTCCTCAAAGTTCATTGTTTCTGTAGCCCTGTTTACAACCCCTAACTAGCCCTGTTGCTGGTGGTTTCAGGAACTTGTCACCTATAAGGGCTCAATAAATCCCTTATCTCAGAGACCTTTCCATTCTCAAGATTTAGGCTCAACAAAAGCTAGGTTACCATGTTTAAATAACAACAGCTTAATAAATTCTATTGCCTTATTTTATTTCTCTTCAGAGGTGGGAACGGAATCCAGGGTTTCCTGCATGCTAGAAAGGTTCTCTGCCTCTGAGCTATATCCTCATTGCTGGCCAGTGTTATCAGTGAAATAAGAAATCTCTGTTGCTTCAATTTGCATTTCAATTGCAACTTGCACAAAAGTGAATATTGAAAAAAAAGTATGGGTTTCTCATAGATAGGTTGTCTGTGTTTCCAAATATTGTTTAAAAACTGAACCAGGTATGTGGCACACACACTCCTCAGGAGGCTGAGGCAGAAAGATCACTGCAAGTTTGAGGCCAGCCTGGGCTACATAGAGAGTTCAAGACCAGTGTATACTACATAGCAACACCCAGTCTAAAAAAATTGATTTGTAGACATTCTTTATGTGTTATAAGTCTTGCAAAAATCCTTTCCCAGTCTGCTTCTGCATTTTGTTTGTAGTGTTTTGTAGTGCAGAAGTCTAAATGTTTGATTTTGACTTAATTTATTCTCTGTGTAAAAGGAACATTTTTAACTTACAGAAGCATTGGCGTAGGTCGGACATGCCCAAATTGAATGCTTTATTTCATCACAAATGTTCATCTCTTGCTGAAGTTGATAAATAATCATGAACTTTTAATGACCCCTGTGAACCAAATAGTGACTAGAGACTCTTTCCTGACAGAAAAACAATAGGATTCCTGTTAGCTAGTTATGTGCAGACTTGTGAACTCAATTTACCCTACCTGGAATGCTGACCTTTGCGGTTTAATTAGCATAGCCTCCCCTAACACTTACAAAGCCCTTGATCTTCCCTTCCTTTGTTATGTTCCCTTTCCTTGCTTAGTAGCTCTGTGTTATATTCTGATAGTAACATAACCTCTCAGGGCCTCCGGTGTAAAATTGTGGAATAATAGAACTTACCTCATGAGGTTATTGTGAAAATTAAATGAGTAAACACATAAAGTGCTTGGAACAAGCGGCTGATACACAGTAAGCAGTCAATACATTTTAGTTATTTGTATTGTTGTTACTATGTCAAATTTATTTATGTTTTTCCTTGTGGCTCTTGCTTTTCAGTGTTAAGAAATACTTCTCCAAATGATAGGTCTTATTATAAATTTTTCTCCTCTTTCCTTTCAGGCACCTTGGAAACCCTTTTAAAATTTGACTATAGCTGAATGACTTGCTTTGATGAAGGAAATGTGAGCAAAACTAGCGATGTCACTTATGATCCAGGGATCCAATCACACATTCATCCAATTATTTTCCTGCCTTGATAACTATGAAAGAATACTCTATGATGGAGCTTCTGACATCCCTGAGTGATTATGAGCAAAGCTCTGCAGAGGCTTCTATTAATCATGAGAAAGAAAGAAACTTTATTTCCCTTTCCTGCTCTGATGTTTAATATTCTCTCACTTTGTGTGTGTGTGTGTGTGTGTGTGTGTGTGCGCGCACGTGTGTGTGTGTGTGTGTGTGTGTGGTGCTGGAGTTTGAACCCAGAGCCTTGCACATGCTAGACAAGTGCTCTATTTTTTTTTTATTTAAAGAGAGAGAAAAAAAAGGACATAAAAAACAATGCAGTAAAAGGGTACAAATAATACAGTATTTCTAGAAAAATATATACAGTACGAAATCACCAGTTAACAGGCTACACGTTATCTTCCCAGAAACAGTTGTCCATATCACTAAATTAAAGCATATAAAGTGAACATTCATACAGTGAAATTGGAGACAGTTCCGTTCAATGATCCAACAAAAGCTCAGTTATATGGTTTTCCATCCTACACTCTCGAACATACCTGCGGTTATATCCCTTAGTCCACCTTACTTTCCTCTCTTTTTTACAGTAACAATTAGACTTTTAGGGTTTTATTACTCTCATGGTTCTTATTACTTTTAGACAAGTGCTCTAATTCCTATACATTTTTTATAATAGTCTTAGAGGTTTATTTTTCATATTTAAGTCTTTAATTTTGGGAGGAATATGTTTATGTATGGTGCACTAAAACCTTTTAAAATGTCTAATTGGCTTTTGTTAGCGGTTATAGAATCAAACATTTATTCTGAAAATAGAATGAATATTCTGATCAGCCTAAGTGGGAGAGTTATCTTTACAGGCAGAAAAGGGCAAAATAAGCAGAAATAAAGAACCAAAAGTAGGTTGGTCTTTTCAAAGTCACTTTTCTTATAGGGTTAGGCAGCAGGCACTTCCTTTTTGTTAGTCAGCTTTTAGCTGCTGTGACAAAAGACCTGAGAAAATCAACTTAAAGGAGGAAAGCTTTATTTGGTTCATAGTTTCTGACATGTCAGTCCATGTTCACTTGGCTCCATTGCTTCTGGGCCTACGGTGAGGCAAAAAGCAGCCCACCTCATGGTGTACAGGAAGCAGAGAGAGAAAGAGAGAGAGAGAGAGAGAAAGAGAGAGAGAAAGAGAGAGAGAGAGAGAGAGAGAGAGATTAAGAGATTAAATGGCCTCTAAACAGGGACCAAAATGTACCCTTCAAAGATAACCTTCCAGTGACCTACTAGCTCCCACTAGACCACACCTTTTGAGGTTTCTACCACCTCCCAATAGCACCACCAGCTGGAGACTAAGCCTTCATCTGTGCATGAGCTTTTGAGGAACATTCTAGATCCAAACTGTAATACTTATGCCAAGTCAGGTAAACTGAGTCTCTTTTGACTGGCTGCTCTGAAACTGCTGTTTTTTGTACAATTGTCCATTTATGAAGTTCACTTTGACTACATGGCACCCAGCAACAGTGACTCCATTCTGGTTGAATCTGTTCTGTTCTATGGGGTCTAGTGCGGGAGCTTAATCCAAAACAATGGATGGCCTCACATGAATTCTGTTCAACAGAACAGTGCAATGAAGGTATCTAGTTTCTCTCTCTCTCTCTTTCTCTCCCTTCCTTCCTCCTCCATCCCTAAGAACAGCTATCTATACTAACTGACTTACTTTTTCCCTCTGATTTGTGAGGCCAAACTTTCATACACCTAGTTCCTGTATGGGTCATTTTTTTTTTTTTTACTACTATGGCACCATTATATTATTTGGTGTTATGTACCATGCCTTTATAATTTGTATCACTATCTGGTAAGCCAGGGCACTGTGGTCTTCAGACATGAAGAGTGGGGAATGAGGAATAAGGGGAGTTCCGTGCATCTCAGCCAAAACCCACCCTTAGAGGATACAATGTCCAGAGCTCCTGGCTCCATCCACACTTCAGAATGTGCCTATCAATTTCCTTGAAGATGCTTAGAGTGGGTGAGAGATAAGTAATAGATTTGGGAGCTATTATCAAATTAATTGACAGAACTTGACAAGTGCTTGCATTACTGCTGGGGTTGTATAGGGAGATGAATTCATCTAGGACAGCCCTCATATTTATGGCCCAGTTAATCAATCCTGCAAGGATATCTGCAAAAAATGTACAAAATGAACCTTCTCAGCTATAAAAATGTCCTCATAATGCCTTAGGAGAATATCTTGAGCAGATAATACAACCTATAAAAATATCCTGTCATAGAAAAGCAAGGTACAATTATGAGTTACATTATTCTAGATTACAACATTCATCACAAATTGCATTTTTAAAGCTGCTACTACCTGACAGTGGATTAAAATATTGCTTTTCCTCAGTTCTGCAAAAATTATATATATATATTACATTTTAATCACAGCAAAGTGTCAAGAGACCAGGAACTTATCTTGCGCAGTAAATTTTAAGACAGACTGCTCATTTTTGCAATCAGACCCAGTAGTTTTTCTGACATCGGGGTACATGGGCACTAAGCAGATCCCATTCTTCCAATACTGCTGACATTGGAGAACAAGTCAGGTCCCTGTTCTTTGGCCTCCCTCCCGCATCTTGATCAACAAACTCTAGGCAAGGCAGGATTACAACTCAGCATGCAGAAGCAGCAGGATGAGGAGGGTAGGCAGCAGCAACACCAGGAATTCAGGGCCTTTTATCATGCCTGCAAAGGGAGGAAGAGAAAGAAAAGTTTCCACGGGCTGGGGATTTAGCTCAGCGGCATAAGCACCTGCCTTGTAAGCAGGCAATCGTGAGTTCGATCCCTGGTACCCATAAAAAGGAAAAAGACAAAAAAAAAAAAAAAAAAAAGTTTCCAGAGAGAGTTTGAACGACATGGGACTCCCAAATGTTTAAAGCTTCACCTTTATGCCAAAATCCAAAGGAGAACGGTTTGCTATATCTGGGGCCCACTATACCTGTTGTTTACTTCCCCAGGATTCCCAGAATCCTCAAAAATACTAGAGAGAGACTTGAAGACACATTCTTTTGATTCTTGAATTGAAGGTCGCATTAAGTACACTGAGCTAATGGGGCTCTCAGCCTCATCCCCAGTCACTGTCCAAGCCTCTGCTTCAGCCACTGGGCCAGGATGAGAAAGGTTTTCCCCATCTGAGGCCTGCAGCTCTCTTGGCCATTGTGAGGGCCCCCCATGCTTGTACTGCTTGACTCAGCAAGAAATTTCTGGATCTGAACCTTTCATTTTGCATCAACATACACACGCCTTTCTTCACTAGCTGGTGTTAACTGCAGCTGGTTTCCTGACCTGGGTTTTCCACCTGCCTAAACCTGAACATCCAACATTTGGCCTGCATGGTTCTTCCTCTGCTGGACTATCTAACTGTTCACCTTGTTTTCATAAACTTGGATCCAATTTCACCTATATAAAAATCTCAGAGTCTCCTTGTAATAAATCCGTGCTTCCATTTCTACCTCCAAAGATTTCTCCTACCAGAACTCCTTCAGACCATAAGAAGTAATTTGATCTAAATTTGCTGGATACTCTGGAGTTTAAATCTACTTTTAATTTGGGCCCCTGGCCTCTCAATAAAACATAATTTTCTGAAACAATATGTGTTAGAGGCCTGATTTAAGGCAGACATTAGGCCAGGCCCTGAGTGCAGATGAATAGGGAGACAAAGTACCCACACTGTAAGTAAATGATTATGATGTAAATATGATGGGATGAAACAGCTGAGATGTGAACAAGGTTTTCCATGTGGAAAAAACAAAGCTAGGACTTGTTGAGCAATGTCTATGAGCCAGTCACTGAGTCCTGAATATCTGTTTTTATTCTCACAGCAGTATTAATGAAATATCTGTGATCCTGTCCCTGTGTGTCAAATGAGAAACTGAGACACTGATTGCTCAGGTAACTTGCCCAAAGTCACAAAGCTAGTGATGCTTGAGCCAGATTACCACTGAGGTAGTCTGGCTCCAATTCTATAGCAGAGAGCATGGTACAATGTTTAATTTTTCTGGATGCATCGGGGAAGGCTTGCCATGGGAACTAGGTCTTGAAAGATAATTACCATACTGGAACTGATTGTCCCTTAGCATGCATAAAGTATGATATATGGTCAAAAGGGGTCTCAGGCTACAAGAAATCGTAGGTCTAAAGGCACAGAGATTCGAAAGCCAGCACGGCTTAGAAACAGGTAAAGTGCTCTTAATGGCACTTCTCACTCATCACGTGGCTGGGAGAGGTAATAGCCTTTCCTGATGCGTTCCTCTCCATTTTCAGTCATCAAGCACCTTCACTGAGATTTGTGTTCTTTGGTTTACCAGTTCTATCATTACCAGTTCATCATTCTGCGTACCTTTGCTCTGTTCATGTGTTTCACCATGTGGCCCACTCGTATGGATTCAACTTGAGCCTCAGCAGCTATCTTCAGTAGTAACTGCCATGATTGCCCCAGAATAAACTTATTTGGTTTTTCCTGCCTCGTTTCCCAGCAAACTATAAATAGGCAAAGCCATTAGACTGCTATGTGGAGCTTTACACCAAGACCCTGGCGCCAAGAATGTGCTTTTTTCATATTCGCTTAAGATAAACTGGGTATATTTCAACTAGGATGAAGTCACTTTTGTTCTAACCCATATTTGCATCTCTCTTGCTGACTGAAATTTCAGGGATCCAACTGGTTTTGCTGTAGCACAGGCTCCCACTTCCTTCACTATGTCCCAGGAAATTGCACTGCCTACAATTCTGCACCTGTTGTGACCCTTTCTTAGTCTTATGGCACCTTGGGTCCAGTCTTCACATACTAGGACGTGATTCTCCTGAAACACCAAGAACACAAAGTATTTCAATTCATTGACTCTTTGCTCCGATGTTATTCACCTGTTATTCTATCCAGTCAGTCACTTCCATGGGAACGTCCTTGACCCTACTCACAGCCGATATATCCATACTAGACATCTCGGGTACCACCCCCTGTTTCTAACCACATCCCCAGTCTGTCCAGCTCTTCCTCCTAGAACATTTCATAGGCAGCCCAGTCCCAGACCTTCCTCCATCACCATCCACCTTCTTGTTTTAGGCACCCTCCTCTCTTGCCCATGTTACTACAGCAGCCAAACCCATCTTCCAGAACAAGGTCGCCAACTCCCCTGACCTTTGTCCCTGCCATACTGGTAGTCTCCGTGGCTCCTTTCACCTGGTGCCCACGAGATCTTTCTGACCTTTCTGTATAGCAGACTTTGGAACGGGGCAGAATAGAAGTGGCCTTTGTCTCTGATCCTTGGGCTCTGCTCTCTGTTTTAGGACAGTGGTCTTTTTTTTTTAGGAATGTTACTCTTCGGTAGTGGACTGGAGGCCCATTGTTTTCTGCCTCCGGTGCTTCTGGTAGGGAGAACCCCCATTTTGAATTTTGTGCAACACTTTAGTGCAGACCCAGGCTCACCTGATCTGTTGGAAAGATAGAAGCAATTGTAGTTACTCTTTTGTCTTCGAGGGTCTTGAAGGGTAACTGTGTAGCCTTTATTAGTAATTTTTATTGAGGCAAAATTATATACCTCGTATCCTGGAATTAACACTTCCTGTTCCGTCTTATAAAAAGAGAAATTTTGTATCAGAACACCCAAACAGGTATTGATTTCGAACAGTGTTCCAACATCTTTGAAAAACTCTCCAACTACTGTTGAATTCAAAGATGATGATGCAAATTGTCCAAAGCATACACTACCCTTTCCACTGTAATAAAATTTGGTACGGGTGCCTCTATAAACTTTGTAATAATTCTGATCCTTGAGAAGCTGAAGTGCTCTTGTCAGGTAATAGTGGAAGGCCTTGTACCAAAAGTTATCTTAATTTTGACGGAATTCTCTCACAGCTTTGTTAAAATCTGTTGCAATATCGCCTGTGTAGGTCACTAGCGCTATTCCATGGAAATCATTGAAATTTTTTGGATAAGTTACTTTATTCTTTATTTTCTCCCAATATTTCTCTGCTTTTGTCCACTCAGACTTTAAGTTCTTGTTTATGTTCAGCTCTTCTTTTAAGAGTTGAGGAGCTTTTTTCTCCATTTCTTGGATACAACCCTCATACTGATCATCAAATGCATCATAAGCCATGTCTAGTTTGCTCTCTGGCAGGGCAGTTATCTGTGGAGAAGGAAGAGCCCTTTGACTTATGTGCAGGGAACCTATGCTGGATGCTGCCAGAGTCCTTAGCACTGGCTTCTTGCCTGGTATGACATTTTACATATACCAATCACAGGGTTCATGGCTGACACATCATATGAATACAATCTTATTATACTGCGAGCACCATAAAAAGAGAATTTCAGCTTTGGACTCTGTTTTGCTTACTGGCACTATTCTTTAAATTAATTTTCAGATTCATGCCTCCCACCTGGCTTTAGCCACAGACTCAACTCTGGAAACTGTATTGTGTCAAAAATATGAGGGAAAAGAAGAGCAAGATCAGCGGATGTGGACTGAGAATAGGTGTTAGATATTACCTGCTGTGTGAGCCACCAATTTAGCATGAAGATGTGAATTGCTATGCATAGAAGTGATGTCATCTTCAAGTTCAAAAATAACTGCAAATGAACATAAGATAATACAAATGAGGCATGAACATTAGTTTCATTGTGTGTTGATGCATCATTGCTGTGTTAATCAATCCTCAGAAGAGATTATGCAGTTCTTGTGAGGCCCTGGTTAGTTCCTGCAAGAGCAATTTGTTACAAAGAAGAGCAGACCTGATGCCTGAATCTTTCTGGCTTCCTCTTTCATCACATGACCCTTTCTGCTCATGACACATGGCTTCTCTGCCACCGTGTAAATCAGCCAGGGGATACTTCACCAGCTGTGGATGCCGTGATGTTTAGTTTTCCAGCCATTGGAATTGTGAAAAAACATCTTTTCCTTATAAATACTCAGTTTCAGGTATTTTACTATAATAGTAGAAAATAGCCTAAAAAATCAGCTTGCCTCATTAATTATTGTGTTTAATGAAAACTTATTTATGGTAAGTTTTTTCACTTTTTAATGGTTACACAGATTAATGGGATTCATTTTGCCAGATTCATACATGCACATAACATGCATTGATCATATTTCCCCCATCATTTCCCTTACCCTCCCCTTCCTCCTAGCTTCACATTTTCAGGGCATGGGGCTCAACTTGTGTATTTTATTCATATCCATCCCTCCTGTTACTCTCCGTTTTACCTCATTTTTAACTTCTTATAGATAGAATATGCACTTAGCAAAGTAAATAGAAGAATGAGGTGTGACCGTTGCCCTTTGGGTTGGTACCTGCTTTCTTTTTTCCTTCCCACTTTCTGTTCTTAGAAAATTATGAAAATCCTCTTCTCCAGCCCACCATACAACTTTCCACATAATGTTGGCTTAGTCTTCATAAGATAATGTTCTACCAAGACCTTGAGAATGATAGAAAGGGGCTGTGAAGCATGACCAACTGCTCTTGGTAAGAGCCTTTCCTATTACACTGGGCTCCTCTTTATCTTGGGTCCTCATTCTCTGAGCTTTTAAAGGATTCTAGAAATGAAAGTCTCCAGTGGAGACTGTCCCACCCTCTCTTTATTCTAAATAACCAAAGTGTTATTCATTATCATAAACTAATTATGATCAACCCTTTAAGAGTTGACCTCAGAGTTCTCTTTGTTTACATAAAATAACCACTCAATGATATAAAAGAAACTTGCTTCAACATAATGTAAATTGAGTGAAATGTATCTGGGATGAATTTCTTGTAGAAAAAAAGATTGTACTGGAGAGATTAGTGTTTACTTTGTGTACAGGAGGAAGAACATTTGAGTAATTGCACTTCAAAAAGAGGAATGAAAGGAATGACAAGAATTCTAGATATTGAATAGATATTGAATGTGATGTCAAATTCTGAGCTTAATGGACAGAAGGTTAGACTGAAAGGCAAGTTAGTATGCATGGAGGTGTAGGAGATTATAATTATATGTATACCTTCAGAACTCCATCTTGAACATAAATATAACTTCTTCATGTCAGAAACATAGTGCACTTACCCAACTCAGTTTTCAGTTCTACATTTCTTCCTTTCCTAGTTCTTCAATGTTGCTGATGCTTACAACTGCCTTATTTCAATACCTGGTGGCCTCTTCTTTATGAAACAGTTAGATATAACCTATTCGACTGGCCACACTGACCCACACACTCTACAGGGGCTTTGTAGATATGCCACCATAATCACTTTTCAGTCAAGCCATGACCTCCTGGACCTGGTGCCTGGTTGCTTTAAACAACTCAAATTCTCCTCAAGAAACTTTTGTGGATAATGCTCTGAGCCAACAAAAGCACTGGCCTAAGAGTGCTTTTCACTTCTCTGCCTCTCTCCCTTCTTGGCTCCATGTGTGGCTCCTAGGTGTGTTGTGTACTAACCAGGACTTTTCTTTCTTGATCATTGAAAGAGTGTCCTCCCTTTAAAAAATCCTAAATCAAAACAAAGGAGAGGCTAGGAGTTGATGTGTGCCTAGAGTAGGTTAGGAAGTTGGATACTTAAGCATATTCTTCTTCTACCCTGCAAATCTAGATTTGACTAACCATAGAAAGGGAAAGACTTTTGACACAGGGGATCTTTCTGGACACAGGTACTGGCAAAGACTTAAGGAGTAAATTTTAAGGTCTTGGATTAAGTTTTTAAGTTTTTAGAGAAATAGGTAGATGGATACATTGCATGTTATGCTTCAAGAGTTTTTCTCTTTTCCAAATCTGATTCCATCTCTCTGTTAAAATATTCCTGCCCAGAATTTCCATTGCCACTTGACACATAACCTCTCACTAGTCCGTAGTCTAGTCCAGGTATTTTTCCTCACAGCCCCATTCTATTACCATTCTGTCCCCTGGGAATATTCCTAATTACGTCACCCTCAGACACCCTTCCCATTCAGAGTGGCCAAGTACCTGATCTCCAGCAGCATCTCAAGAGGCAATACTGTGGTCCTTTTATTGTGGGAAAGATGATATCAGTTTTAAATTTGTTGGAAGCTGCTGAAACTGAAAATTGAACAGACATGTAGGGCTGCTGCACCACTGGGGCAAGATAAGATAATGGCTGAGGACATCTGGCTCCAACTCCAATGAACAAAATAAAGACTGTAACCTCAGGCATTTTACCCCTGTAGTGAAATACAACAGGGATACTTCTCCTTGTTAACAGAATTTTTTTGGGGGGGGGTACTGGGGCTCGAACTCTGGACCTCACACTTGCCAGGCAGGTGCTTATGCCACTGAGCTAAATCCCTGTCCCATTTTTTTACTTGCAAAGTCCTTGAACCACTCCCAATGTCTGTTCAATTTCCTGTGTTGTTTGAAAAAAATAATAAATATAGGCTGCCCAGAAGCATTCCTTGTTTTAGCCACCAGAGTCCCCGTGTTGTAGGGGGTTTTGGTCGTCTTGGAACCCTAAAATCATGCCACTCATCTCACTTATATAAGCCTTCGCCATACACTTGTTTGGGAGATTGGGGATCTAATAAATAAATGTCCCTGATATAAATTGCATCTGAAAGTAAAACTGGATTATTTATTAGCCAGTTTCCTACTATTTTGCTATTATACTTTTGCTCTCATACTTTGTTTTTACACCAAGAAGACATTTCTGCTTCCTGCCATAGGATCGGTGATGGTGATGGTAGTGGGGTGTGTGTGTGTGTGTGTGTGTGTGTGTGTGTGTGCGCGCGCGTGTGTGTATTTTACAGTATTCAAGTTTATGGTGCAAAAAAGCAATGGTCAGTGGTCAATCTCTGCTCCATATGTTTGGTTTTAAGGTTACATGTAACATTTCAGAGGAGTTACTTCAAGACAAGGGTTAGGAGAGGTGAAGGCTTTTAGAGACTGCTTTTGCATCCACAGTCATTTCTTAGTTTTTGAGTTTTCTGGCACAGTACAGAAACAGAAGAAAGAAGAAAGTGAAAGTGGCCATTTATTTGAGGACATCGAGAAAAACAGCCCACACTCAGAGGCGTTTGGCTTTCTCCTTTGGACCAGATACAGAGAGGCAGAGGATTATATGACCTCTGATTGGAAGTGGCACTGGGGTGGGCATTGATGGTGTGTGAGGGACTGTTTGGAATTATCTTCACTCACAAAAGGGAAAGTAACAATTTGGGCTGAAGCGGAAGAAGAAGGGATGGCTGTCAGGGCAAGCATTCTTTCTTTGGCTTTCCGCCATGTTAGACCATTGCCATAACTGTACAATAATTTATATGAGGGCAAAAATCCTTCATTCAGTATCAGTTCCAACACTTGGATACATTGTGTTCATAAACCAGTTAAATCATAAGCCAAACACTGATTTTGTATGCAGTTTTCTATGGGAATTACCAGCTTCTCCTAATCCTGGATTGTTGTAATGAATCTGCTGGTTTCCTGAGTAACTGGACCAAACCATGGAAGGATGTTTTAGGTGAAAAATACCACCACACACCAGGCTACAATAAATCTAAAATCCTTGACTCTGCCACTTGTAAAAAAAGGCTCCACCAAAATAATATTTGTACCTAGCTTTTGTAAAATACGTTCAAAAAACAATTTTTGTACCAAGCTTTTGTAAAAACTTTCACAGAAATAGAGCCTGGATAGGCACTAGAGTATATACATTAAACACAGTGTGCATACACTTCAAGAAAAGAAAACATTGTATATTTTAATACTGAATTTATTGAGACATCACAAGACCAATACCAGTTACCTTTGGCCTCTGCAATTACAAGATGCACTCAGAGTGGTGATCATTAGCTTCCAGATATTTATTAGTATGGTGAACTGCTGCTTGGGTAACCTTGTCCATTGAGAATGCTGCACGTGCTTCTCTAAGGCCTGGCAGTGTAGTGAGTTTTCCATGATATACAATGTTCTCTAGGGTACCCTATACGAAGGTAACACAATGTATTTGGAGAACAAATACGGTCAAGTCAGACACTTTGGAAAAACAACTATAAACATAATGATTAATCCTATTTTCAATCTGGTTTATGATAATGAAGGAGCATAACTTTATAAAGGGAAAATCTTTCAGGTGTAATATCATAATCCTGAGATATATTAAACAGTAGACATAAACATATCAAGAATAGTTAGAATATACTGACATTATATCA